GGTTTTGTAGGGATTTTGTTTGATTGCATGGAGGATTTCATCATGAGCTGACATCAGTTAGAGAACCACTGGAAAACCTGCTGGGAGCACCGGACAGCTTTATCGTCCTAGTTTTGAACTCCTCAGCTGGGATTCGAACCCAGGACCTTCTGGCTACAAGGCGAGCTAGCTCGTAGACCATTGAGCCACTGCGATCCGATCCAATGGCCCACGAATTCTAACTTCTGCCAATTCACGACATATACATATCAGATAATAGTGCGACCATTTCTTTTGTACGCAGAGCTATGGTTGATTTCAAGAGAATTCCAGTGGCCTTCGAAAATGTATTCAATATCCCACAAAAGATGATAAAGAAAAGCTCTTCAGTTCTAACTGTTGATGCTTTCAGTAGCACCTTTATTTAGTCACATCATCCACTGGTAGGTGTTCCCCAGTACGAAAACTCAAGTTCCTAGATGATTGGTCACTACAACTGGCTCCTCTGAGGCAGCTGATTTGATAGATACACTTAGAGGTAGCTAACTGGCCTAGGTACTTCGTCTATGACTTTCACAATCACAACCACAGTTTTAAAATCTGCGGTATATTCCACAGTTCTTCTGATAACTTATGTTATTGCAAAAGGTGGCATAGTGGTTAGGACGCTCGCCGACCATGCACAAGGTCCGGGGTTCGACCCATTGCCATCGACGCACTCCTTTACCTCGCTAAGCCAGAAATAATGTTGGTGAAGAGGAAAGGTTGGGCATTAGGTGGATAGCAACCCCATCCTGTAAAATAAACACCACTGCTACAGAAACTTCAAGCCACTAGCTTGAAGCCCTATGTTCCATTGGGGAATGTGAAGGAAAAAATAAATAAATTGGAAAAGGTTTGTATCTGAGGTGGCTGATACTGAATTAGTCGTCTTCACTAAAATGGTTGATAGTTTAATCTTCCTCCTTCTACACAGCAGCCCAATTCAACACAGGTGTCAGCATAAAATGATCTAATCGGAATTCTCCGTCCATCAATGATGATGATATTATAATTGTCTCCCTTCTCACAAACATTCTCCTCATTCCTGCTTAATTTACACCTACACTCATCATTTCTGTTGACCTGGAATTTGAACTTTCTTGTCATGTCATGTGATGATTCAGCTTTTATTATCTGGTAAATTTGGTCTGTAGTAATTAACGTGTGTCTGCTAATCGCTGGCTGATTCACTTGAGTACCAGACAGGCTTGTAGAAATTGGCTGACTGCATTCCTCGTGTTTCCTCTGCTTTTAGAATTTCTACATTGTCACAATGATGAGATTGGTGTCCACAATTATCTACGCCAAGTTTCTCACCCGTGAAGAAGAACTGACAGACTTCACTGAGATTTGTGCTAAAGGGAATCGAATCTTTTGCTTACGCGAGCTGAGATGAAGTGAAGCAGAAGATTTGCAGACTGGTTGCCGGTTGACGAAGGCATATCTTGCCTTTCCGATTCTGGCTGGTTGGCTTTGACATCTTGATCCGTTGCGACCGACTGTCTGCCTGTGGTTGAAACGATGCTGGCTGCCTAAGCTAGATAAGTGAAGGCAGGAAGTAACCTTTGTCAAATCTCTTTTTCCCATTGATGGTGACTGATGCTAGTCTTTGTTTAATCAATCTGTCCGCTTTCATTGATATAAGTATAAAACTTGGCCACTGTGTTGTGGTAGAGTATAACTACTCCATTATGGATAAGATTTTATTTCGATAAAGTGTCACACAATGTAGTGTTATACAGTAATATTAACTGATGACCACGTTTGAAGCACAATTTATGATTGCCACTCACAATCATATCAAGTCACTTACTCACTTACACAACTTTTTTCCTTCATTTATATACATGAGTGGAATTCACGATTAGACATTTGAATACAAATCACTAATATGGGATAATGTACATTCAGAAATAATAATGATAATAATATGAGTGTTATTGATCAATTACAATAATAAGATGGGAAATAAGACGAGTGTTTTTATAGTCATAATAAGTGAGTAACTTGTTAGAATGTTATGATGTGTTTGAATTGAATTGCAATAGAATTTAAGATTATTTATTATCCTCCTCTGATTTGACTGGTGGTAATAATATCTTCCATATCTCTGGTATTTGCGTTGAGTCATTTCTGTTGAACCAGGGTTCAGTAATCAATCTTTCTCTCTATCTCCACCTACATAGATTACTTCTTAGAATTTTGACTCTGTCCATCTGATATATACACTGGTGGTGACTCATCACTATTGATTTTTCGCACCTGCATGATTGAATTTACTGAATTCCCATTGATTGTTAATATTTTTTTTCCTAACTGTGTAAATACAGAGTTTGGTTTAACATTTTCGACTGTTGTAGAGACAGCGAAACCTCTCGTATCAACGTCTAGTCTTCTTTCTTTGTCTTGCGTGCCCGGCGGTATTCTTGTTGTTGTTGTTGACGTGCGATTAGGACAGATTAGCCAGCGCATTAAGTTAGATTCGCTCGTAGTCTACAAGGTCATAATATTCATACATAACAAATTTGGCGACACCCTCCCACCATGCTATTGTGTGTGGTTGTGTGTTAATGCATGCAGTGCAATGTAGTGCTGAGTTGCTTTTTCTAAATTACTCATCTTCGTGGGATCAATCATTCTAACCTTAGCTACATTCTTGTGTTCTGACAGGTGCAATCTCACTACTCCTGATCTACTAGTTTGACCTATGTAGGTAGTTGACCTAACTCACAGTCATTGCAAGGTATTTTGTAAACTATATATATTCTTTTGTTTAATTCGGTCCACCGGGTCTTTTAGCCTACAGACCTTGTCCTACCTGAGTGAGTTTGTAGGTTTGAATGCCACCGCCACCCTAATTCCTGCTTTATTTAGAATCCTACTACTTTCATACTACGTTTCACCATTCTCTCTTCTTGTTATATAGTCTTTCGAATGGGCTTCAGCTGTCGGAGCCTACATCTTTGTACAGGTGTTATAATCTGCTGTCTATTTCTGTATCCTCTTTTTTCAGATTACTACTATTATTTATTTATTTATTTATTTTATTCTTTGCCATTCCCAGTGGAACAAACGACTTCACTAATAATATATATGCGTCGGTGGCATAGCGGTTAGAACGCTCGCCGACCATGCACATGGTCCGGGGTTCGACCACCGGCCAACGACGCACTCCTTTACCTCGCTAAGCCAGAAATAATGCTGGTGAAGAGGAAAGGTTGGGCATGAGGGCTAGCAACCCCATCCTGTAAAATAAACACCACTGCTACAGAAACTTCAAGCCACTAGCTTGAAGCCCTATGTTCCACTGGGGAACGTGAAGGAAAAAAAAATGAGAGGTTTAGAAGTCAGTTGGCGGGGAATCGAATCCAGACCACATTCATTGCTGGCAACTGTTCTAGCACTGAACCACTGATGCATTTACTTAGAATAGTAGTAAAAAGAATTAAATAAATTAAATAAAAAACGAATTAATTCTTAAATTGCCCTCCAGGATTTCATCATGAACTGAGTTCAATTACAGGATCATTGGAAAACCACCTGGGAGTACTGGACAACAACTGTTTCGTCAGCGTAGTTTGGGACTCTTCTTCAGCAGTACGCACCCTCCTTCAGCGTTAGAACACAGGAGCTTCCGGTTACCAGGGGATAGAATCCTGAAACCAATCAAATCCCTGCAAACCACCAACACTTGAGTATCAGTGTGATGCCCTATTCAGCTGGAGATAGTTACCTGGGTGGTACTAGTGGGAAGTCGTGACCAGTGGGGTACAGCAGGTTAGTGCCAGTCGTCCTACATCGTGAAGTGGCAGAAGTTGGAATTCATGGGCTAGCCACTGGATCAGGTCCCAGAGAGTGGCTCAATGATCTACGAGCTCACCGGTCTTGTAAGCGGGTGGGTTCGTACTAATGAAGAGTGCCAAACTAGGACGAAACATCTGTCCAGGTTATTCAATCCAGGTCATCCGACCAACCAATCAAATCCCCGCAAACAAAAACTCTTAAATTTGACGTTGGATTTCATTCCAGTAAGTGGGTGGTAAACATGCTAAGTAAGTAACCTAGATTGATTATCCTGGGTTCTGCACCTTGCAGGCTTCATGAATGCATATGACTGACGAGTCCTAGTCCAGGACGAAACACCTGTCTATTCCTCTCTATGACTATCAGTTAATTCTCTGACCTACGCCCGTGATTTCAAATTATTTTATTTTATTCATACTTTATTTAACTTTCAGTTAAATTACTTGACTGAATTGAGAAATTCCAATACAGGTTAAAGCTGTCTACTCTTAGTCTGATTACTAATCAGTCGTCTGAAGAATTGATTGCGTTACGTAATCAGACAAGTTCAGACAGAACTAACTTTCACTAGTTCAGACTATCAAGCAATTAGACATGTCAGTCAACCAATGAAATTTGACCCCTATATAGATGATTTTAACAGTTCAGTTAATCTCTTTTCTCTTTTTTTCTCTTTTTTTAACATCAAAAAATTTTTCAACAAACACACAATGAATGACATCATCATCATCTTTATCCAGACTAATTTGTCATCAAAGTCATTATGATCATGGTGATGATCAGTCGATCTCATGTAGCCTAAGTAGAAGAAGAAGAAGTTGTTTCCTATTCTTTTTCAGGTCACACACACAGTGGCTAAACAGAGGCTAACATTTCACACCCCCCACAATGTTTTATGTTGTCTGAATGGCCTGAGACATTCTTTTTGTGTGTGTGTGTGCGTGTGTGTGGGTGTGTGTGGGCGTGTTGTGTTGTGTTGTAGGCTGAATTGTGATCAGCTCAGATATACACCAATCAGAATTGGGAAGGACAACATACAGACTTGATGATTGATATTTAATTCGCCTATTTCTTAATTTTTTTTAAAAAAATTTTCACATGCTTTAGAACAACCACGTTGACAATATAAAAATAAAAATCAAATAAAATCAAAAGCAGTAACAGACACACACTTTAAAACGTGATCAGAGTTTGGGGAACAATTTTCAAGCATTTTCTCATGTCATAACAGCCCCAGCGGGTACTTGGACAATTTTATTTCATGGAAAGATTCAACAGTAAGTATTCTATATTATTATTAATTATAATAATAATAATAATGTTTCGTATTTTTCTTTACGATGCGTTTTTTGAAGATTCCTTTGTATATAGTACTGTGATTTTGTTATATTTAAGATGTAAATTAAATTATTATTCCACAGTTAGATGTAGCTAAAATTCGGTAGATATGCACTTTTTTTCTGGTGGATGCCTTTCTTCCGTTTCTTGTGTATTAAACCTAGTTTAAACAACCCTTTTGCACTGTTATGAGAATGATGCTCAGGAAGGTTTTGTGTGCTCTGGGAAGTGTGTAGGCGGTTGTTACTTCCGGCTGCCTCACCGTGAATTGGTTGTCTTCGGGTACTTGGGACAGAAAGAGGTGGTTAGTGTTGCGTGGTCACCACAGAGACCAGGGGACACAACTGCTTGAGGCCAGCCAGCCGGCCGGTCACACACGGCCTATGTGTGAACTGGTTTCTTGGTTTGATTTCGTATTAGTAAAGTTACCGCCGGTTATACAGACCACCGTAGGTGAGGTAAGTTGGGATGTACAATTTTTGGGGTCGACCTTTTCTAACCCCCTCCTCGTCTCCAGAGTGGAGAGTCAGCATAGCTGGCTGGCATGCTGGTCATCTGAGGGAAACACTGCCTTACTGCTGTTACATCCCTGTTCCCCAGCAGTGTGACTCCATTATGGATAAGATTTTATTTTGATAAATCACACAGTGTTACACAGTAATATTAACTGATGACACGTTTCGAGCACAAATTATTGCTCATAATCATATCAAGTCACTATCACACAACTTTTTCCTTCATTTATATACATGTGTAGAATCTATTAGATATTGGAATAAAAATCAATATGAGATAATGTACATTCAGAGATAATGATATGAGTGTTGTTGATCAAATACAATAATAAGATGGGAAATAAGACGAATGTTCTTATAGTTATAATAAGTAACGTGTTAGAATGTTGTGATGTGCTTAATTGAAATAGAATTTTGAGATTATTTATTATCCTCTTCTGATTTGACTGGTGGTAATAATATCTTCCATATTTCTGGTATTTGCATTGCACTGTGAGGTCAACTATATAGGTCAAACTAGTAGATCGGGGGTAATCAGATTGTTGGAACATAAGAATTTAGCCAAGGTAAGAATGGTTGACCCCGAGAAGATAAGTAATTTAGAAAAAAGCTCAGCAACTGCACTACATGCATTAACACACAACCACACAATAGCATGGTGGGAGAGGGTTAAGATTCTAAGAAGTAATCTATGTAGGTGGAGAGAGAGATTGATTACTGAATCCTGGTTCATTGAATCCACACCAAACACATGCAACAGAAATGACTCAATGCAAATACCAGAAATATGGAAGATATTATTACCACCAGTCAAATCAGAAGAGGATAATAAATAATCTCAAAATTCTATTTCAATTCAAACACATCACAACATTCTAACAAATTACTTATTATAACTATAAGAACATTCGTCTTATTTCCCATCTTATTATTGTATTTGATCAATAACACTCATATTATTATCTCTGAATGTACATTATCTCATATTGATTTTTATTCAAATATCTAATAGATTCCACTCATGTATATAAATGAAGGAAAAAGTTGTGTGACTGAGTGACTTGATATGATTATGAGCAATAATTTGTGCTCGAAACTGGTCATCAGTTAATATTACTGTGTAACACTGTGTGATTTATCAAAATAAAATCTTATCCATAATGGAGTAACTGCTTTTAGTCTAATCGCTATCCTAATAACCTTCCTGGCATAGTAGGACCTGCAGAAACAATAGTTCCAGCCAGTGTAGCTTGTTGTGGATCATTGCGATTTGCAAGCCCAACCGACAACCACGTCAAGGTAGCAGCTATCGGTCAGGGACATGTTATAGCCATAAACACGCTGAGAAGACTAATGTTTACTAGTGAATCCAGACGTATCATGTTTAGCTGCATGCCTAGCCATCATTTTGCTTACTCGACCGGCGAGAAATATTAGTCTCTGACAGGATCAATAAGGTTGGAAAGGAGTTAGATAGCTTCATCATCAGTCAGTGAAATCAACAACAGTTACTTTCAGTCAGCCAGCCAGTCAGTCACGTAGGGACGTGATGTAGACTGCATGACTGACTGGTTGGTTGGGGTCCTCGGGGTGGTGGTGAAAACCGATGTGGACTGGAGACAATTGGTGATGTGGCTGGATGGAAATCGTTCTTTTGTGTAGCTGGCGCTGGCGCAGATGCTACCACTCTTTGTGGTGATTTCGCATATCCAATGAAACTCTAATGTTCTTCCATGTTACTCCTATTATTTTTTGCCTCTGTCACACTTGTGTTTATTATCTGTGAGTGTGTGTGTCTTTTGAATCTGTCTTTACTATTTTCTGTTGGTTTGTGTGGTCGGTGGAGGTAGTGTGGCATTTGGAACTGCTAACAGTCAGTCACCATTCGCTCTCAGATTTTTTTTATTATTCCTTTACCGTTCCTAGTGGTGGAACATAGGAGGCTTCAAGCTAGCTAGACTTTTCAAGTTTTGTTAGCAGTTGTGTTTATTTTTCCAGGTGGTGGGATTGTTACCTTCATGCCCATACTGCCCTCTTTATCATTCCTGTAACCGGATTAATGAGGTTTGTGGAGTGCGTCAGCTGGGGGCGGGGTGGGTGAACCCTCGAACGCACACCGCTCTCAGATTGATCACGGAAAATGGTGTTGTTGTTGTTGTTTTTGTAATTGATTGTATACATAGATGATGAACAGGGATCTAATGTTAATACTACTAATTTAAATTTTATTTTCTGAACTTTTGTTCAATTCTGAAATCAGTCAATAAATATCACCGGGACTGTTCATCAGTTTAACACGCCAGTTTAATAATAATAATAATGATAATAATAATAGCTTTATTCCAAACAGTATTTGTGGTACAGGTATGGAATTTTCAGCGTGCATTACAATATTGCATCTAATTACCTCATAAATTTTATAAGATTTAAAAAAAAAAACAACAACAAAAAGAAAAAAGATAAATAAAAGAAATAAAAAAGAACAGCATTGCATTCACATATTTAAACAATGCACCACAGGATATGAAATATAAAATTAGTGTGTAATAGAATATGTGAGCAACAATATAATAGTAACAGAGAAAGGAGAACAAAAGCTAAATGGGAACTATTTGTTAGAGTGCCGCAGTAAGTTGATCGTGTCATACCTAACGGATTTCTCATCACATAATAACAGCTGTGCCAGATAAGGTATTGTGGAGTTTTGTACTTGGTAGTCCTGGCATATAGCCTCCTATAGTTGCTTCTAGTTCTACCAGATGAAATGCAAGGAGAGAGCTGCGTATAGAGAGGGTGTTCGGGGTCTGACAATATAGAATTCGCTAGTTTCTTACATGACATTAGATGTCTATTCACAATGGTGTTAACCAGTTGGTTTAACGGAATCACACTTCCCCTACGAACAGCTTTTAGTGCCCTACTCAGCAAAGCAAAGTCTTTCTTAAGTAGTCCAGGAAAGATTAATGGGCAGCAGTAAAGAGGGATGGGTAGAATGCAAGAATTGACAAACTGAGAAAGCAAAGACTGCTTTATACCAGACTGCCTTAACTTCCTAACCTGGAACGTTAAGCGAAACATCTTTCTAGTAACTAGCAAGATGTGAGAGGACCAGGAAAGATCGGAGGAAATACACAGTTCAAGGTACTTGACATTAGATGTACTTTCAACCTCTATGCCGTCAATGATAGTGGGACCATGTGAGCTAGCTAGCTAGTTGTTGTAGGTCACGTTTTCGTCTGAAAGTGAAACTGACTACCTGACATTTAGACAGTTACAGTATCTTTGCATAGCATTTTGAATTATTATTTGTCTTGCGCTGAACTTTTGAAGGTCTAGGTGGCATGCATTAGGGACAAACTATATGACGCTTGCTACCTATCACTAACAAGTATATATATATACGTACTAATCTTTCACCAGTGTTAATCTATTCGGTTCACTATTCCAGTTACACTAAATGTCTATTTTGTGATTTTTTTTAACATGGTATACTTTATAACTTAGTGCGGCATGCTGTTGTCTTTTTTCTGGACTATTATTATTATCAGTAGTAGTAGTAGTTGTTGTTGTTGATGAATCCTTTTGGAATAATCAATACCTGACTTTTAAGGGCTTGTATATATATCTCAGCATTTTGAGTAGGTGTTTTATTTCTCTAACTTTTTGGTTAACAGGATCACATATACACCGCGCACTACTTCACATATTCTGTGTCATCCATCACTTTATGCCATTTTGACAATATGATAGATAGACAAACGTGCATGTGATGTTTGTACACTCATGCGTTATTTTTAGCGATATGAAGGCGGCTTTAATGTGATCATAGAAGTTAAGTTAATCCAACGTACACTCTGAGTGTGTGTAGAGTGTGTAGAAATTCACTCGACTAGGCATATAAATGTCACTTTTTGATATTTAGTTACTAGTAGAATGGAGTAACTCAGTTCAGGGAAGAATGTGAGAATGTTGGTTAACTGAGCTGTTATCTTCTATCTTTCCCTATTCTACTTTACTGCTCCCCGTTAGTCTTTCCTGGGCTACTGAAAAACGACTATACCATCCTGAGAAGGATGTTGAAGGTAGTTAGTAGGACTAGTGGTGTAAAACTCAGTCAGCTCGTCACTACATTAGTTGATAGGCATCTGAATACAGGCGAAAAATGGTATAAAACCATACTCTCCGACCCCCCAACACCCCCTCTATTCCCAACTCTCGCCTTGTATCTCATCAGGTAGAACCAGAAATCAGTATAAAATAATTTATACTCGTACAACCAAGTACAGGAACTCAACGATACTCAACCATTATTGACATTGTCTTCCTGTTTTGTACTTTACTCTATTCCTTCTTTTGTGTATGTACTGGTTCCGACTATATTAGCTCTATGAGTAGTACAAAACTGTCCTGTCATTAACCATCAT